GCGCAGGCGCATCCACTTTTTGTGTTCTCTCAAATCCTAAACTTCAGAGTTCCTCATCCCTTTATCTTTTTCTTATTAAATTCATTTCACGAGATTCTACTTCTTGAATACCACCGTCGAAACCTAATCTCTCCGATTACTTCTAATACTTTTACTACCTCTACTTCTATGGGATTTGCATTGACAATTGCATCTCTGTGCTAATGTGGTATGACAACTTGAAATGATGTATGTACGTACGTACGAAGTTCTACTTTGCTGTTGATGACGTTTTACTGGCTTGATCTTTATGCGTAGCTAATGTTCACTATGTGACTAGATAATGATCTGTCAGCTATTTTTTTCATGTTTGTTTGTTTTCGAATTCCAGATGTAAATTACAACAAATTGATGCATTCACTATAATTGACAAGATGAACTTGTTACGTATTGTCCGAAGACGTGAAAACTATCGACTGGTTGTTAACAAGGTGAGTTGATTTATTTTCTTTTCTCAGTATTACAATATCATCAGATAGTTTTGTTTTAGAGAAAAAAAAACAATTAGTTAACTTCAAACATATCACTAAATCGCTCAAGCCTTAGATAGTTATTTTTGAATTATGAATATCAGTTAGTATTCGCTAAAGGGCTACTAATTGATGTGATTGAATGTTAAAGGTAATGAATGATTCAATACTTGTTCCAATGATTTAATATCACATATCCTTGTATTATAATTAATGCAATACTTTTCTTGTAATTCACTGGTCTGTATTTGTATGGTACTAGTTCGCATTTCGTGCTCAGCTTATTCAGATATTGAAAAAAACTGAATTGTAAATGATTGCATCAGTTAATTCAAAGATTGGTGTTGGTTAATAAAAATGAAAGAATGGAAGCATGATAGTTTAAGCATTGAAGATGATAGAATTGATTTAACTACCTACTTCAATTCTTTCGTTTACGAATTAAAAAAAATACGATCATATTTTTTTTCGGATAAGGAAGTACAATATTGATTTATGTCAATTTGTCATTTTGTTCAATTTTTTCATTGACTATAAGTACACGCTTATCATGTGTGTAGATTTTCTATTGTTTGAATGATTATTGATTGAGTTGTTTTTTTATTTTTAGCGTTAAAATCAATCATGTACTAAAAGTTTATGCTTCGTTAATCGTAGATCTATTCAATTTTCTACTGACTTTTCTAACATGCATATTGTGAATAAAAAGTGTACATTGAAGTGAAGTGAACATTTTTTTTATTAGAATAAAACTTGACTGACTATTGGTTCTGCATAGAACGCTTCGCGTAAATATATATATATATGAAATTAAAACTACTCCAATAGTTACACAAACATTAAGATTCAATATGTAGTCTTTTGCTTTATCCTCTGACTGAAATATCCACTCAATCTAGATCATTCTTCGTTAGCGTGCGTGAATCCTGTGCGGATTGCCTCGATATAGCCATTATTTCACACATTTTTATAGGACAGGAGGAATATGTCTAGCCATGGAATCCAGAACGCGCGTTTCTTCCCATTTACTACTCCTCAACTGCACCTTTGTTCATCTCGCATTCTGGGATTCAAGTTTAGTACATTCCACTTCAAGTATCTAACGTTTTATCCACTCAACTGTCCCATAAAAAGACAAAAGAACTAGTTGTATGAAAGTTATTGATCAAAACTTTGATCTTTCAGATCCAACAAAGCCTTCAATTATTGCTTCAGAAAAATTACTCATCTCAGTTATACTACTTGCCAGTAGTCCGTTTGAATCAACGAAAGTATTCTTGGCACTTGGATTTGCTTCTTCTTAAAATAGGTTTGTTAAAATGTATAAGTCTTCTGGTAGTAAATTTACCAAAGTATTTCTGTAATAATTTACACCCTTATTATTGTAGTATAACAATAATCAGTTCATGCGATCTTATTCTATAGTTGAAATTAATCGCAAGTCTTCAAGCTACACAGCCTACTATTCAAACTCTACTGAGAAATAATGATTTTTGTGCTGCTTTGGATTTAGTTAGCACTACAAAAGAATTATTACATTCACATTTGATGATGGACTCATCTCCGAATGATTTATCATCAAACAAAATAATGGACCAGCCTGGGAATAGAAATCCAGCACAAGATAATCTAACATCTAGGTTAAAGAAGAATTCAACTACATTTCTTTGTTTACGTGATTTTAATGCTCAACTCAATGGTATCTCTAACTTCGTGCATAAAATGGTTGAGTCAGAATTCGAGATTTCATTATGTCGATTTTTGGATCCACCTATTGAAGAATATGGCGGATTTAATAATCCCGACGTATGTTTAATATTCTTTTTTGAAATGAATTATTTGATGTACATTGTTTTCGAAAAAGTTATAAGTTTCATATGAATTTGACAAATTTTTATGATTTTTAATAGCTGTTTTCGAATAATGCTTATAATTTTTAATTCAGATAACTATCTCTAGTGAATTCCGAAGTAATATTATTAATTCAATTCATTTATGTCAAGTACAAGTTTGTATTGCAATGTTTTGTAATAAATCGGTGACATTTGTTGGTATATACATAATTCACCTTATTTAAATTCGTTCGTAAATTTCAAAACATTTTATAACAGCTATTTTAGTGTTGTCGACTAAATTGACCAGTGATTTTTTGCCTAAACTACTCATTAAATGTAAGCCGAACTATTCAAGTAAAAATGCTTTTCAAATGTATAAGCTTTCATATTAAGCTATCTCTTTTACACAGTTTAAATCACAAACGATTCATAGTTAAACCATCATCAAAAACCAGGATGCACTGGACAGCTGTTTTGTCTGAGTATAGGACTCATCAGTAGTGCATATCCCTCATACTTCAAAAGATTATTATTATTATTATTATTATTAACCATTATCCTACTACTCATCCCTCCTTTCTTGTCTCTCACTTTGTTATACAACATACTTATAGATTTTATCTTGTTTTCTTGGTTTAATACGAATTGATCGGTTGGATTTTGTGAGCGGTTTTCATGCAGAAATGCTTAAGCGAGTGAAAGAGATATTCTATCAACACATCACTTCAGTAACACAACCTCCTGGAAGTAATAGTGTTACAGAGTAAGTTATTGTCTTATTTTATAGCTTCTCTTATTATCACAAAGCAAATGGAATACTAAGTATTTTATCCTGTGAAAAGCAATAATTTATATAGATAAAGGAAATTCATATTTTTAAGTTGTTTTTGTACTTTCTTACAATCTCATGAAACTATCTTTCATACTTGTTGAAATTAATTGCATATTTAGAGATTGGCGCCGTAAGTGAATTACTTTCAACACAGCTATTCCGAATGCTTAGTAATCATCGAACACCAATTCACTCGAAACGTTGCTTCAAATCAAAACATGGTTGAACAGGAAAAAGATTATATTCCAAGAACAAGGTTAGATGAATGTGAGAAGCTCAATAGGGAAAACGTTGGTATATTTATAGTTTCTACATGAGAAGATTCTAGAATATCCCCCCAGTATAGACTAGCGCTGATTGGATACGAAAGAGCCAATCAGCGTGCAACAATGCAATCGTGTATGTAATATGCTTTAATCTAATCCATGTCCCGCTAACACTTTCTTTACTTCAACATTGTTTATTACTGATATTACGGATATTATCAAAATACATGGATTAGATAAATCTCATGATTACCAAAGTGTTATCCAGTATAGAAACCTCGGGGTCAATGTTACAATACATAGTTGATGACAAAGCTGTTCATGTTTTTCTTTTGACAAACATCTGAAGCGACTGTAGGGACTCGGAAAAATAAAGTTCACCAACCGAATGAATGTGAATCATAATCCCTTCGGTTTCTTTTCTGATTGGTACTTAGTGAATTGAAGTTGAACTGCATCTCCTGACATTGCTCCACTTCCTCGTAAATTAGATCTGTAGCTCTAAGGCTCGTGGAATGGCTCTTTAAAAAAAATCGCCTATTTCAGTTTGGCTGCCCTTACAACATTCCAGCACATTCATAAATTCACGTATTTGCGTGGTGCATAATTAATTAGGTGCCTTTTTATAATATTATCTATGTCCTTAAATTAATGAGTCAAATTAAATTATATGATGAACGATTCATCTCCAAAATACACAGTCGATAACTCTTTTTTCGTATTGGTGTTTTTTTATGTGTAACTTATTTTCTTTTAAAGAAGGGTTCATAGTTACTTCGCTCTAAAATGACTAAACTTTCATACATCTTAAGCTCTGTAATCAGTCGTCTAAATAAGACTATCTACTCTAACCGTTAAAATAGGCTATTAGTGAGTAGATCGGTCTGGTTGCTTTATGACCACTTAGTATATACAGTTACTTCTGTACCTTCTACCTATTAGATGGATTGACAAATCAAACATAAAATACAAACATAAAAATACATAACCAAACGGAGACCACAGTGAACACTCTTTGTGGCTTCAAGTTGATTTACTCATGATTATGTTCTGATAAGGATTTTCAGAAAAAAATTTATTCAATGGTCTGATCCACAGTTTTAATCTCATCGGATATAAAATCGTTATATTTCCACTAACTTACTTTTCAAGGACTAGTTCTATTCAGATTTCAATTTCATTCACCTATGAAGAGAGTCGAACTGAACATATTCCTTCACTTTATCATGAAATTGACAATTGAAAGAACAAAAAATTCATTTCGTGTTTCCATCTGCTAATAAAAAAAAAATTATCTTCGAGCAGAGTTTTGGAGATTTGTGTTTTTACACATTTGAAATCATCAGTCAATCATTGTTAGACCATTAGAAACCTGCAAGCACTGGTTTCTAATGGTGGTCTAACAATGATTGATTGATGATTTCAAATGTGTAAAAACACAAATCTCCAAAACTCTGCCCGAAAATATCGTAACAGTGCTCATTAGTGACTAGCTTCGTGAGGAAATTCTCGGAGTTCTAGTTGAGAAGACGTGACCAATGGAGTTCAACCCTGTCGTGTGTAGGCAGTAACTGCCAAAGACAAATGGGTGAGGTCGTGCAAAATACGTAGATCAATCAGAGTTAGCCATTAACACCGTTGGATGCCGGCCCAGTGGTCCGATGGTTAGGCGTTCGCACACAATACCAAAGGTCCCGGGTTCGAACCCTGCCAGGTGCAGGAGTCGTGGGTGCGCACTGCTGATGAGTCCCATACGAGGACTAAACGGCCGTCCAGTGGTTCCAGGTTTCCATTGGTGTTCTAACAACGATTGATTGATGATTTCAAATGTATAAAAAAATTATCAAATTTACCTTCAGTATTATGTACTAGGCATACAAAATCCTTGCTTATACATAGTGCAATTTTTCACAACTAAACTAAATCGATTACTTTAATGTTTATATATCAGCAAAAGTAATGAAACGAAAGTGAGGTGACAAGATATTGTGATTTGAAAAATACATTTTCAAGGTTATTGAGCATAGTTCAACTAAGACTATACTGACTATCGATCTTAAGCTTGTTAATTCCGATGAAAATGTAAATAATAACCTACGCAAAAACAAAATAACTGTTTCGCAAAATCGTATCATATTACTGTATTGAGAACATGCTGTTAGCCGGTATTAGGATATAACTGAAATATATTTTTTGGTCATGATGAAACATGGAAGGAATGCATTTTAGCAATACGGACAAATACTTGTACTATTGCTTTGTTAGTTTGTGATACTATCTAGTTGATCAAACTGAAAAGTGGATGAATCCGGAGTTTAATTTTCAATTGCACAGTTAAGATTTTTAAACGCTAACAGATCCTTATGCAAACGATCACACTCTAGACAGCTATTTCACCCTTAACTGTTACTCGATTGAAGTTTCCAATCGTGACCTCACATAGTGTAATACCCATAACCTTCAAATTTCATGGCAATCATACAAAACCTAAAGCTTCTTAGTCAACAGGTCTGTGAACCGACGAGTGAACGGTTAAAAGTCAAATGCTTGGACTAATAATGTTTCATTATAGTTTACTATGATTAAATAGCTGTTTTTCTCAACAATGACTGCTTTATTTAACCACACAAAATTCAAAATATCTCATTATCTACTAATGCTATTCGTAATTCTGATTAGATTTTCACCTTTGTGTTTTAAACACATTCATGTGTGTTGTTTTTTTAATGCGTTAACATAATAAGAAAAATCAAGCTATCTAAAATATATTCTTGAATTATTATTAAATTTATTTTTTCATCATTTCCTCTCCCTTCACTTTATCCTTAGTTCTTCTACAACACCAGGATCTAATACAATGACACTGTCTACTTCTGATCAACTACGTAATATGCCTGGTGAAAATTGGATGACATTTTTATCTAACTTATGCAATGATATAAAATATTTGCTTATTCGTGGTCAGGTAAACGATTTATGCACATATTTTTTTTACTGTAATATCATCGTTGTAGACTAATTATTTCAGTAAATTACCAAAATAGTAATTAGTCAACTTTCTAAAAGCTCTACTGAAATTTTATCGATCACATCAAGAGAGCTAATGAAAAACTGTCATCTGAACTGATTAATTCACATTACATTTTTATTCAGTTTTTATTTAATTTTGCCTGAAGCATATTTTCAGAAACAAAACACTGCTTATATCAACTTAGAGTAGCATATTTCTTTAAAGTGAACAGATTCATAAAATAGTCTTTTAAATGCCTTGCATGATCTTTGTGATATATTTATGTTATTCCAGATAGGAACTGTCATTATAGGATTAATCTGTATCAATACTTGATATTGTAGTGAAGGAGAACAAAGGTGAGGGCAACCGAATTGTATTTATCTCAAATTACAGAGTTAATTGGTAAAATAGAAAAACCATAACGTAAATCGTTAATTTGCAAAATATCAATCCATCATATCGAACTGAACTGTTCCTGTTGCAAACATCAATCCATTGTCTGACATTTCACTGTTCATGCGTTTCATACAAATCCCATTGTGTTCCCTCTCCTCCTTTCTTGATCTTCCCCCATCTTCTGCTGCCAGACATTACGTTTTTACTCGCGTCATATACTACTTATAAGTAGCGCGCACCACATTATGACTGCATAAATTAATAAAGTGAAAGAGGTTGGCAAATATTTTAGTTATCTTAAAAGTATCACCAACTGCAGAGGGTTGAGATAGCGGTATGAATTTAAAAAGTTTCTCTATGTGTTATGTTATATTGGTTGTAGTTGGAGAGACCTTGAACGATATGGCTCAGAATCGTTTGCAATGGCGCAGGTGCTTTCATTCATTGTGTTCTCTCAAATTCTTACCTTCTGAATTCCTCATCATCTATATCTTTCTCTTTCTAAAGTTATCTCACTGAATGATACTTCTCGCATCATATCTTCGAACCCTAATCGCTCCGACTACTGCTAATACTTCTATTATCGCTACCACTATGAGATTTGATTATGATTAGATTATCATAAATTGATCATAAAACATGGAAAGTTGTGTAAGAGCAAGTTCTAATCATGCTGACAATATTCAATAAAAGTAATTTTAGAAATTTTCTCATCGTAATGTGCGAAGACATCATAAGATCACAGGAAAGACACATAGTGAACTAGCAAAATGTATAATACACCTTATCCTCAGACATCCTATTGCAAAACAAGTAGATTATCGACTTTTTTCTTCTCATGTCTTTCAGTTTTCAAAACACTTTGATTGCGCAATACATTCTGGTCGGATACTTTCCTCTCTGGTAGTCACTTCTGTGTTACACTGCCCTGGATACTACTTATAGGCTATGTTAAAAGCAGTGTCCATCACACCAGTAATTATTCGACTAGGTCGTGTTTTTTTAATGCTTATAACTTACTTACTTACACACACCTGTTAACCGTTTTGGAGAGCAGGCTACCGACTAGCATTGGTTGGAGAATGCTGCTCAGTAGCATATGACGTAAGGTTTTTTTTAACTTATCTGTGACAATTAATTGTACAAACTTTCTACATCAGACTAAAGTGATATTATTTCACTAGTATAATTCTTAATGCAAATTCATTGGTTCGTTAATTTCATTTTAAAACTAGGATGTTGTAGATATATTCGAAAATAATCTCTGTTCTAATCATCAATCAAATGAAACTGTTGAAAATGGTGTTGTTATTTCATCGACTCATCAATCGTTGAATATAATTAGTGTTGAAAAAGCAAAAGAACTTGCTAAATCTATGCATAAAACTCTATGGGACACGGCTAATATATCTCAAAGACGTTTATGTTCCATAATTTCATCTCGATTTCGTCTTGGTGCTATTCAATCAGTGGAATCAAAGTTGTCCACATCGACCATCATGACGACAGCGACAACAACAACAACACCTGCCTTGTCATCAACTGTCGATTTATCGTTGAATTCACCGAATCTACAGCAAAAACGTTTATCTGTGACAGCAACAATGGATATTGGATGTACAACAGCGTTTAGTGAATATGTGTTTGATAAATTTACCTGGAGTAATTTTAAAGAACTAGTCAAAATAATAAATATTTTTCAGGTACGTATTTTTTGCGTTTGTGTATATATAGTAGCAGTGTAGCAGAATGATAATCCACGTAACAACGTTTATCTTTTTTTAAATGATGTTGACTAATTTATTTGTATTGCTTGTTTGAATCTTCCCATCGATGTTTAGGACTGCAATTGATCAGCCTCTTTGACATACGTGCTTCCTGTGAGGATTGTCTCGATATTGACTTCGGGTTACAAGTATCATTAGTAAAAGGTGGATAGTGTCTACCAGCGGAATCCACGACGCGCGTTCTGTCCTACTTAGAACTGGTTGCATCCCAAAGTTGATATTCACTGGGTGACACTCTAACCCAGTACACTCTGAGCTGCCAGTACATCCAGCTGACGGGTGCCACAATGGACGAAACGCGCATCCTGGATTCAGCTGCTAAATACTATCCCCCGCTGCTAATGACGTCGACTAATTTTTTTGATGCTTCACTATTTCCTTTAGTTCCGTACAATATATCTGAATTACAAGTTATTTATCCGTCAAATGCTAAATTCTCTTTATTTCACTTTCCCCTTCCTCTTCCAGTTTGTATTGCCGTCAGTATCATTGTGATGATTGTATATTTTCTGCTTCTATTGTCATTATTGTTGTTAATTTCTGTTTGTTATCCTAGTTCTCCATTGTGCATATTCAAATACATGGTTATCTTTTTAGTCATCTTTCTATCCATGTCGTGTTGTTTTCAGTTTGTGACTAGCAGTCACGAACTAAAATTATCGCAAACTTGAAAGTAAACATGATACCAAATCATCATGATAAGAGATTCTGACCGATCAAATGCAATCATAAACATCAACAAAATAAAATGCATGAAGTCTTACTGATACTATTAAATATCTGCAATATCGCGGATTGGTCAAAGTTAGACTGTGGCTCAGTGGTGCTCTAGATGTGAGGTTTCCACATGTGAAACTATAGGTCTTAGGTTCAATCGGCATTGGGATGATGATGACGCACTATATTGTGGAGTGCTATACTAAGACAAAGCATGCTTAGTACTCCCAGATTTTCAATAGTTGTTCAAACTTCATTGGTTTTTAATCTCAATAAAATTCAATAATTTCCAGAACTGCATGCTATTTTTCCTCAAATAAATTAATTCTTACATGTGCATATATAACACAGTTAATTCATTTGCTAGGTAAGTGTAAGGGCAAGTGATACCACCCTGTTGCTGCGACGCACGTTGCTTGGATGGGGTTTCAACTTTGGACTTAGTTACTGAACATCGAATGCCTTAACCACTAAAACTACCGCTCTGTATGTGCACTAATTCAATATACTAACTTTCCCCGCGTGCAGTTTTGACATGTACTAGTCATTATTTATGTTTTTTAATTAATAAAATTATCATTAGTCTGTTGTTGAATAGTCCCATTTCGATGGGTAATGTTATATTCCACCGACGAATTGAATAACTCAGTAATATTAGTAAAAAGCTGAATAATATTTCTAAATCAAGTGGCATAAAGACAGATATATCTAATAAATCAAGAAATGTAACTGATGCTGAAATGTTAACCTTTTTCTCCAATATAACCGAATACTAGTGAATTTATTCTCATTATCTCCTACATAAATATAAATTCTTTGATCACACTGTGATTCTTTTATTTATTGTACATAATAGATATATGTTCTTCGAGCACGGTTGAAATTTTCCGATATTCCAATGGAATCGCTAATTTGTCATTCCATGAATAATTCAGAAAACTCTGTACAGTCAAATGCACGTCCTTTCAATAAATCAAAATCTTGTGTTCAAAAGTCAATAATTCCTTTAAATCGCAAAAATTTAAATGATATTACTACCTCTTCTTTGATGAATAATTCCAATGCTGATAATTGTATATCTAATGACCAGTACATATCAACTATTCAATCAGATCTACTATTACGTAATCTTGTACTTGATATGATAAAACTTATCATTGATCGATTTCATCGTGAAAAATTTGATCAATTAAATATGTTTCTGGATCAAGAAAGATGGCAAGCAGCTACTTGTCCGGAACAAGTTCAGCAAATGATTAATGATATTACCATGGAAATAGAACAATCTAAATTAAAGGTAATTTATACACACATACATTATTAATTTTTACAATTTTTATTTTTGGTTAAGGTGTGTGGTGATTATTGACAGTTTGTGTGAGTTTAAAAGCCAACTTAAGTTCAATCATTGGAAATTGTTGTGATTTTTCCAGGTTTTCAATGGTTGTCCAATTTAGTCCGGTTCGTAACTTCAATTTGTGATAACTACTTTATGTTAAATTCACATTCATGGTAATAAACTCACCAACAGTTTGATATTAACTCATATGAGCACAAATTCGGCTGTCCAGTTTGAAACTGTATCAAACTGTCAGAAAACGGTTGATGATGGAAACTGAGTTTTGATTACTCAAAAATAGTGTAGCTATAATAAAAAAATTCCATAAGTATGGTTCTTAAGTTTTTCGAAATGTCTGAAAACATGATTCGGATATGCATGAAATCGAAATTCAATAAAACGGCTATTTGTCTCGGAAACGATTCTTTCATGTGAATATTATTAAACAACAATTGAGTATAAATCTCTACTCGCTATGCCTAAGGCGATTAACACGTCTGAACATATGTAAATAAAAGGGCTTCCTGTAACAATTAAATCAAGAATACTTACAGCGTACAATAGTGTAAATGACAACTAGTAGCTGCGTCTAGCGCTAATAACAATTTATCCAAACTGGAACTAAAAGCTAGCTTATATGGAACTTGATGCGTTAACACAAAAATCTAGGGAACGTATAAAATGGAAGCATTGAAAGAAGATAATTATATTGATAAATACAATTGACACTATTACTTTATTTAGTAAATACTTAAGCATATCACAATAAATATAAGTGATGTTACATGACACACTTAGGAATTATTATTAATAAAACTATCTACTGAGTATAAATAAGTAGTATAAAATCAATATACCATAAACAAGAGTGATAGCGTGAAAATATAAGGTCAACAAATACCGATGAACTTAACTATAGTTATTATCCTACATTTGTGATACATAGTCTTATGATTAAAGTTTAACGCACTCATTTTCGTTACCAACAAAAAAGATCAAGTTGAATTACCGTTTAAAATCAAACAGTTGTTTTATTATTCTCATGTGAATTATACAAAATTACCTTACACAAATCAAAACTTCATTTGATTTTATGATAAACATACGTGTAAAACATGTTGAGCTGAGCTTTTTTTTCCTTGTAATATATCCTGATCATGTAATTTTCTAACTTCTTTTTAATGTTACATTTCAAATGATCTTTATCTCAACAATGTCATTGTCATTAATATTTTCTGTTTTGTTATCGGTAGACTTCACAATTGACCAATGAACATTCTCCTTCTAAAACAAATCATCATCATAATAATAATTATAAGTTAATTCCGTCAACAGACAGTGTAGTTTATTCGCCAAATCATATTTTACTAAATAATGAACAATATACGGTAGTTCGTACAGTTATATTATTGTTGCCAATGATGAATGATTATGTGGAATTTAATGAGAAATTACCTGGTCAACCATTAATTACGGAATTTATTTTAGATCGTCTAGCTGATCTACTTAATGTAAGTCTCTTCGTTCCTTTTTACAAATTATTTTCCAAATTTTATAGGAAGATTTATATTAGTGATAATAATGACAATATTAGCATTATTACTCACCTACTTACGCCTGTTACCCCCAAAGGAGCATAGGCCACCGACCAATTTTCTCCAATAAACTCTCTCCTGGGCTTCCCTTTCCAGTTCTGTCCAATTTTTGTTCATTCTTCTTATATCTTTCTCTATTTCTCGGCGTGATGTGTTCTTTAGCCTTCCTCATTTCCTTTTTAACTGTTAACGAATACTTGCATCTTCTGGATGATAGCTTTCGTAGTTCTCCAAGTTTCCGCTCCATACAGTAGGACTGTCTTGACATTCGTATTGAAAATCCTGATTTTGGTGTTGATTGATGTTTGTTTGGAGTTCCAGATTTTGTTGGATTGTAGGAATGAGGCTCTTGCTTTGTCGATCCGCGCCCTCACATCTGCATCGGATCCACCTTGATTGTCTATGATATCGTAATTTTTTTTCATAATCGACTGTTTGTTTTTTAAAAAAAAATTAAATTCGTGAATCAATCATTTCCAGACCATCATTCGAAACTTAGAAGCATTAGGTGGCCGTTTTGTCCTACTATAGGTCTCCTCAACACTGTGTATCCTCATCCAGTTCTTCCCGATTTCTAAAATGATAGTCTAACAATAAGTAATTCACCATTTCAAAGTAAATACATAGTTAAAAGCTAATTTTCTCAACAGTTAGCTTATAAATATTTAAAAATTATCCTACATTCTATTTTACTTAAATAAAAGTTGAAACATACCAAACTTATAAATTAATCCCAGTTAATAGCTTCATATATATATATATATTCTTAGTGTAAATCTAATTTTTCTAATTTATATTAGGATCAATTTGCTACTAGTTTGTTGTAACCAGTGAGTATAGCGATCGGATCAGTGAATAAAATTATAAGTTTATATAGAAGCTATGAATTACTGACTGATTAAGTACACTGCTAATGTTTATAAAGTAGTCGATATTGCACTGATTCACACACATAAATGGCAATCTCTACACGGTATATATATATATATATATATATCCTGAGATAGTAGCACACTAAAAACATTTCTGTTTACACGATATACTACTATAATATTATCATTAGACCGGTTATTCAATTGATGCCCTGTACACAGACTGTGGTCATGTTATACCGAATACGGAAAGAATTAGAGCATAAACCATACAACAGATTTACTTAGCACGAACACTACCAGTCTATACATAGTAAGATTGAAGTAGGAATCAATAATCGAAAGCAATTTACCTGTCTATTTATCTCTACAAGCTAACCAGTCATTATCTTACTTTTACTGGCTACAGATCAGTTTCCCATATAAAGAAAAATTTTTATTTGACTTCCGTTTTGCTTTACTTGTTTACTTGTTGTGTAGCATTTTAATTCCCGTGTTTGTCAACTTGTTCTGGGTGCTGAGGCATGTAAACGAGTTGATCTACAACGTATATCAGCTAAAAATCTTGCCTTGACCATGCGTAGTCTACAATTGGTTGTGCATTTTTTACCATGTATACAATTCTTGTTAGAAAGGTAAATTATTATTGATTATATTTATCCAAGAGGGATGTTTGACAATCAGGTGTTTTGTAATTTTCCTTATTTCGTTTTATCTTCGTACGATAATAGTAATCATAATGATAAACTTAAAAAGATATAATTCAGATAAAAAAAATTATCTATCAACGAAATTTCCCTACAAATTATTAAATTTGAAGTTACATGAATGAGTTTTTATGGTGAGAATGTAGAAAAATGCAATTTTTAACTAGGGAAAGTTTTTGTTAGATTTCATATCCAGAAAAGAAGAACATACAATGGAAATAAGTGACTAGCTTCGTGACTAAATTCTTGGAGTTCTAGTTGAGAAGACATGACCTTTGGAGTTCAATCCTGTCGGGTGTAGGCAGTAACTACCAAAGGCAAATAAATGGTTGAGGTGGCGCAAAATTCCTAGATCAATCAGAGTTAGACATTAACACCGTTGGATACCGGCCTAGTGATCCAAAGGTTAGACGTTCGCTCACAAGATCGAAGGTTCCGGATTCAAATCATGCGAGGTGCAGTAGTTGTGGATCTGCACTGACGCTGATGAGTCCCATACCAGGACGAAACGGCCAACCAATGCTTCCATGTTTCTAATGGTGGTCTAACAATGATTGATTGATGATTTGAAATGTGCGAAAAAACACTAATCCCCATAACTCTAATTGGAAATAATTAAGCAATCAGAAATCACAATTGATAATTAAATCCAAAAATTCAATGACTAACTATCCATTATTCCTGTTATATTGAATTATTTAAATCTCTTTTCTTTACTGAGCCGGCAAACATTAAAGAACTTATTATTAATACTATCAATAATAATGTAGTTGAAAACAAGTGGAGTATCATTCATGTTTAGTATTAAGATTCATTAAATATAAGAATGAGTTATTATGTGAGATGTTAATCGATAAAGAAAATTTTATTTTGAATTATATTCAGTCAGATATAGTTTTTGTTGTGCATCAAACCATTGATTCACGAATCATGAATGTTACATAATTAATGCATGTTTCTTGCTTCTTCTTCTTCTTCTTCTTTTTTTATCTTTTATATTTTAACAAGAATATCTAAAATGGAATCTGACAAAGTATCATCATCAACTAATGTGGATAATGTTCTTATTGCTTTATTATATCATTCAAATTATAGTCAATTTATCAATCGTATAACATTAAATAGTTTAAATCATATTGAAAAATTATTTAAGTAAGTTTTTTTTTCTCCCGTAATTCTTGTTATTACATCAATGTCAATGGTTAATCGTTAGTGTTTGTTATTATTTTGTGTAAAATGTATATATATGTATATATAGTGTGTGTATATAATATATGCTAAACATGCCCTATTTCATACACATATGAAGTTTTATATTAAGCATCTTTATTGCTAGGAACCTATTGATAATGTGTCCTAGATTTAAGTTTCAAGTTATATCGCATTCTTTAGTAAGTTGTGTTAGGAACATTGAAGATTATCGAAAATTTATACCGATGTAATACACTACTACTGCATCCAAAAACAACGCTACTTTATTCAAAATTTCCTTGTAGGAATCGATCACGTGTTGTTTCGTTGTTAATACAGAATATTAATTAATAATAATGCACTCTGTTGACAGGCACTGTTAAATAGAATGCTGGAAGTTAGAACCACCTAACCTTCGCTTTTAAGTATTACCAAAGAAAAGGTATGTACACCAAGTCACTTAGTCTAACGACCGTGTAACATTTATGACTATTCAGACTCCGAGAGCATTAAGTTCACTTGAAAATATGACACTACTTACTACCAAATCACTATTCAAAGCATCAATATCTTCACTCTCAGTCTTTTTGTCCATCGATTCATTTTTCATCTTATTTTTATTCGGATATCTTTGCATGATAACGAATTCTATAGACTCCAATAATTGGCTCCCTCAACTCCTGTTGATATAATTAATGTAAATGCTTTAAATCTTAAATCATTTTCTACAATTTGGCTATTCTTTCCTTTCTAAAAGTTTCCTTCACATCTATTACAATATATCTCCATTGTGACAAATTATTATTGAATCGATAGATTTAACATTGGACCTATTGATTTTTTAGAGATCTGTATGCATAGTATCAATTATTCAGTAAACCGCTCAAAATCACTTTTTCCGTAGTAAAATAAAAACAAATAAAATTCTTTCTCTCTAAATAACTGACTAGATAAACTTCTATCAAATATTCAATAAATATTCAAACTTCTCCGGTTACATGAATAATTAAATTACTATAAATTAATTGAACTAGTCTCATTTGATTGTTGGAATGTACAAAATAGTAATTACACCGCCAGCCAATCATCCCTTGAAGAAAGTGGACATAAATATTGTCAAAATATTTGTTTGTTACTTATGAGTGGTACGATTAGGATACATAACATCGAAGGCCATAAAATCATCTTATTAATGAATGCTATATCGAATAAGTTAATTCATGATGTAAGAAAAACTGTTTTATGATCACTAGTGAATCTAGTCAAATGTGGAGCAGTGGAATTCTTACTTTCTCGATTCTTTTATTTAGTATGACTAGTTCTCGAATTTCCCATTTCTAATAAGAAGTCCTTTCAGCTCATGAGTGGTATTGTCATTCAAATTTTGTAAGCGTTTTTCATTATTCCTATGGCCTTTATAAACTAATTTCTCATTGTTTAAAGAATTGACAATCATCAGAATACCAGCATCAATGTGAAATCTCACTATCTAACATTTCAACCTACTTCTATACTGTATATCGATTATTCCATATGTATACATATAGACATAGATATAAACTCAGTTCCTACACAATGGATATAAATAAATGTGTGGATAGTTTGAATTTCGCTCATAATAATGACATTTTCACTTTGTTTTATTGTGGATTATTCACACGCAAATCATTTTTCGCCATTTCCGTTTGTCGATTTATCAATGAAACAGTATTGATTACTATTGAATAAATCTTCAATGATTTTTCATCGTTCATTTTGTTATCCCCAATGTGTACTGTTCATTGTTATAGGTATATAGAGTAAAGGAAAATTGTTTGTTTTTGAATTGAACAAAAATCTGTTTGTTGTAACTGAGCGGAAAAAACCTACTTTTTTTTATTCCTACTATTTCTATATGTGGCATTTTCATATTTTGTGATTTATAATGCATGCATGAGAGTTCTTTATTTTTTCTACGATAAATTCAACTAATCACATCGTTGTTGCTTTGTTTGCTGTTTATGGGAATTGTTGAATATAGATGACAGTAAAAAAAAATAATTGGAGATAGAAATAATATACACTATTCTTTTTTCGTTGAATATTACATACCCTTTAGGCAAAATTGTTTCACTTTATGATCCAAACGTTTGATATTCACAAAATTGTAATTGATTTGATGAGTAGTGAATTACATACGTTATTGTATGTAATGAATTTTATTTATTCAGAAAAAAAAACACAATGGTCATTTAGCTAGTAGAGAGAAAATGTTCAATTGAATACCTACAACAGAATATACACTGTTAACTTTTTTCAATTTTTGTTCGTTTTTCATTCAAGTTTATTTTTAAGCTCCCAGTTCATTTTATGAATATTTTTTTCAAAAAGGTTTACTCAGTCCATTTGAATTTCTGTGGTAAATCTAATCATTCACTGGTTTTGTTTTCATTGACACTTATTGTGTATGTGTAAACGGAACAAGAATAAATTATCAATCATTTCCTTCTCTCTCTCTCTGCGTGTGTGTGTTAGTGCAGATTGTACATGTTTGTTCTTTATCGAACTTGACGATCATCAGAAAAAAATAGTATGAATGTAAAATCTTAAATATCTTGCATTTCATCCTACTCTTGTACTCCATAAAAATTTTTCGAATATGCATAAAATGAACTGGCAGCTTAAAAATAAACTTGACTGAAAAACAGAAAAACTGAAAAAAGTTAACAGTGTAGATTCTATTAGAGGGATTGAATTGAACATTTTCTATCTACTACCTAACTGACCTTTGTGTTATTTTTTTCTGAATAATTAAAATAGTTAGGTGGTATTATTAGTACAAAAAAAACAGATACAGTTAATTATGAAAGATTGAATTTAATGACTCGATATTCATAGATGTCAAAGTTTATTCACTATTATTAACGATGGTTGCCGAGATAGTAAAACATTACATACAATAACGTATGTAATTCACTACTCATCAAATCAATTACAATTTTGTGAATATCAAACATTTGGATTATAAACTGAAACAACTTTGCCTAAAGGGTATGCAATATTCAATGAAAAAAAAAAATAGTGTATATTATTTCTAGCTAGATGTAGTTTCTATCTCCAATTATTTTTTTTTACTGTCATCTATATTCAACAATTCCCATAAACAGCAAACAAAGCAACAACGATGTGATTAGTTGAATTTATCGTAGAAAAAATAAAGAACTCTCATGCATGCATTATAAATCACAAAATATGAAAATGCCACATATAGAAATAGTAGGAATAAAAAAAAGTAGGTTTTTTCCGCTCAGTTACAACAAACAGATTTTTGTTCAATTCAAAAACAAACAATTTTCCTTTACTCTATATACCTATAACAATGAACAGTACACATTGGGGATAACAAAATGAACGATGAAAAATCATTGAAGATTTATTCAATAGTAATCAATACTGTTTCATTGATAAATCGACAAACGGAAATGGCGAAAAATGATTTGCGTGTGAATAATCCACAATAAAACAAAGTGAAAATGTCATTTATTATGAGTGAAATTCAAACTATCCACACATTTATATCCATTGTATACGAACCGAATTTATATCTATTTCTATATGAATAATCGATATGGAGTATAGAAGTAGGGTGAAATGGTAGATGATGAGATTTTACATTGATGCTGGTATTCTGATGATTGTCAATTCTTTAAACAATGAGCAATTAGTTTATAAAGGCCATAGGATTAATGAAAAACGCATACAAAATATGAATGACAATACCACTGATGAGCTGAAAAGACTTCTTATTAGAAATGGGAAGTTCGAGAACAACTAGTCAATTGATGTTTCATACTAAATAAAAGAACCGAGAAAGTAAGCATTCAACTGCTCCACATTTGACTAGATTCACTCTTTAGTGATCATTAAACAGCTATTCTTACATCATGAATTAACTTGTTCGATATAGCATTCAGTATGAAGATGATTTTATGGCCTTCGATGTTATGTATCCTAATCGCACTACTCATGAGTAACAAACGAATATTTTGACAATATTTCCGTTTAACTAGTTAGTTATTTAGAGAAGAAACATTTTATTTGTTTTTATTTTACTGTGACGAGTGATTTTGAGCGATTTATTGGATGATCGGTACTAGGCATACAGATCACCACAGTTCAGTACGTCCAATGTTAAATCCAACAATTCAATAAGTTGCCAAAATTAAGATTTATTGTAATAAATCTGAAGGAAAATTTTACAAACGAACTGGTAGTGAATGTGTAGAAAATTGTTTATGATTTGAAGCGTTTACATCATATCAATAGGAGTTGAGGTAGACAATTATTGGAGTCTATAGAATTCATCATCAAGCAAGCATATCCGAATAGAAATACAATGAAAAATGAATCGATCGACAAAAAGACGAAGATGTGAAGTAAGATTGAAGATATTGATGCTTTGATCAGTGATTTGGTATTCAGTAGTGTCATACGTTGAAGTGAATTTATTGTTTTCGTTTTTACTTTTTCGGAATACATTTTTCTTATCTTATTGTATTCTTTTATCAAAACAGTGAACATATTGATAATATTTTACGAAAACTTGTTCAATTACTATCTAATCCAATCGGTTCAATGTTTTCTAATTGGTATGGTCGTCCTCCGATACCTAGTAAACAAATGGATGAAATATGTCGTAATTTATCAAAATTAATTGAAATGACTAAACATGTTTTACCTGCGGAAATATTGACGGTAAGTTTTGTGTGTGTAAAACGGAGTTTAACTCATTTGTAATCGAACTAACTAATTAAATACACTTCAAATTCGAATTTCAATATCCATCCATATCTAATAACGGATATCACAGTCCAATGCATTTGTTTATCGGCATGATGGTTTTTGAAGATGATTGTATATGATTCTGATAATTTACAATTATCATGTATTACATTAGTTGGCTAAGTTCAAGGAGAAATTCCCATAGTAACATTCAGTAGGCTATGGTCAGTAAAGTCTGGTCGGGTTCAACTGTGAGGCAATTATTTACCAGGAAATGAAAGATAGTTACACAGTATCATAAACTGGTTGGAGGTAAGCATTTACATCTTTATATCTTGGCCTACTGGTTTTAAAGACTAAGATCTTTCGCCGCGGGATCGAAGGTCCTGGCATTTGTTCTCATTGGAGTCATGGATGCATATTGCTTAGAGGAGATGTACTAGGACGAAGCAAATGTTTAGTGCTTCTTAGTTTTTGAATATTTATCTAAATAAGATGAGTTTGTTATTCCCTGTAGCGCTTTATCTCACTATTTGGTTGATATTAAAATGCATAGTCATACTTCTATGTGCTAGATATTTGGTTCATTGTAGTCTTTTTATTTATTTAGGTTTTTGTAATAATTTGCAAAAAGTGTTGTTTCTCCTTCACAAAAAAATTGATAACATAAATATTCAAAACCCAACAATTTCATTTTTTTTCTGATTCATTGATATGTTGCAACTAATTCAACCATGTGGAAATTAGTATATTCGGTCTAATAATGAACACGGTATCATTGAATTAAGTTAAATTTCATTCTCATTTGTTTCCAACAAATTGAATCAGTAGAATATAATTTAATTATTTTTCGTAGTTTCGACAATAATACAATACAATAATACTTACAAGAAAAAATAATTCAAACCATATAAACTCTGCTCTAGGAGTTAGAAGAATTATGACGTTTCATGATGAAAGCCGAGCTGCTTCGGAAGTCATGTGTCCGAAGCTCCTTCTGACAACCAGACCCTTTCCATGATGTGGGCAGCCGGGAAGTAACATCCGCCCTCATACCCGTAAAAGCACACGAAACCGTATCGGTCACTATCAAATCCTTTCTAGTCTTCCTAATAACTGTCTTATTTCCACGACCAACCCTTCCTTTGTCACCTCGCACCGCTGAAGCAAACGTTATTCCTGATCTCCTTAAAAACCGCTCTAAATTACATATTTGCGCTTTTAAGGTTCAAAACTTGTGTCAACTAGGGAAACAGGCTTCGTTAGCTAGGACTCTGGAATCTAGTGCCATCGATGTGTGTTGCGTCTCCGAAACGCGCATACAAGACCCGAGTGAAATTATCACTTTGATTTTACCTTGTGCAGGTAGAGAATCAACTTGGTTTACTCTACGTGTATCCGGATTTCAGTAGCATCTATGGAATTGAGAGATGCTCGAAAACTCATCCCGTCTGGCTGCGAATGCGATGAGGAGCGTAGTTAGCTTAGGCGCAGGCTGATAAAAGGCCTACGCAATAATCGCGAACAGTGGTGGGTAGCGAAGGCAAGAGAGATGGAAAAGGCGACAGTAGACAACTGTTCCGTCTTATCAAGGAAACGGGCATTAAGAATTCGACTGCAAGTGCGACTATTTCGGAAAAGGATAGTCTTATCATTCACTCTCAATCCAGGAAATCGGATCGGTGGGCAGAACCCTGTAAGGGTCAGTTCAACTGGCCCTCAGTCACACTTCGGTTCCCCACGGTCTCCAGTTTCGTCAAGTGGTGTCTGTCAGAGATGTCCACTTTCTCCATTCTTATTCAATTTTGTCATAGACATGCTCCTAGATATAATATTATCTTCGTCTGAATTTTCAGGAGTAGACCTTTTACCAGAAGATTCATTGGTTGACTTAGAATATGCCAATGTCATAGCTCTATTCGGTGAAGACGCTGACAAAATGCAGTGTCTCCTGACTACCTTAGGCAACAATGCAAGCATGTTCGGAATGTGGTTTTCCCCCTCGAAATGCAAAATGTTGCTTCAGGATTGGGTTTCTTCGGCACCTGAAGCAGTTGAGCATGTTGATCGCTTCACTTATCTTGGGAGTTTCATCAGTACTGATGGCCTGGTGTGTGACGAAATCTCAGCACGGATACAGAAAGCTCGATTGGCTTCTTCCAACTTTCGTCACCTATGGCGCAAGCGAGATATCCTTTTGATAACCAAAGGACGAGTGTACTGCGCAGTAGTTCTCTCCGTCCTACTTTACTGCTGTGAAATATGGCCAGTCAAAGTAGAAGATATTCATAGGTTGCTTGTTTTCGATCATAGGTGTCCCCGAAGCTTTGCTCCTGTATCATGGGACAGCCGAATAAGCAATGCCATTTTTAGCAAACGGGTACGAGGTAAGGATGGCAGGTCAATAGATGAAATAATTTAACTTCATCAATTGAGGTGATTTGGACATTTGTTGCGTATGCCTAACCACTGACTGCCTCGTTGAACTATGTTTTACGGTGTAAGAATATGTTGGAAGATAGCTAGACGCTACCTAGGCAAAAAATTGCAGAAATCTATTAAGTGACTGACAAGTGGGCTGAGTCATGTGGGTAGGTTTCGACTACCTGGTTGGGGCCCGCGAAATTATAGTAATCGATGGTTAGAGATCTTGAATAACATGGCTCAATACCGTTTGCAGGAGCATCCATTCTTTATATTCTGTCAAATCCTAACCTGAATTCCTCATCAGTTTTATCTTTTTCTATCTAAGTTTATTTCATTAGATACTACTTCTTGAATAATATCCTCTAACCGTAATCCCTCCGATTGCTGCTTCTAATTCTACTTCCTCTATTACTTAAGTTATTTGAAGTGGCAATTGCGTCTCTGTAATAATGTGATATAGCAACCTGAACTGATGTACGTACGAAGTTCTTCGCCGTAACTGACTGACGACTGTACGTAGATAACATAATATGAATTAGTAAATATTGTTGACTGAAAAAAAATCGCAGTGTTACCTTACAAACACTATGCTTATAACCCATTCAATTGTTTTTTCTTTTATACTGATTCTGTTAAATGATAATTTAGCTTAAAAATTATCTAGTTCCATTGGTGATATCTACCTTACATATAAATATTATACACTCTGTGTATAATTATTTTCTGACTGAGTAACTATTGGCAATATATTTCAAGCTTAACAATTTAACACAGTATTTATTTTGCTTGATTTATAAATTCCGTTCTATTCTATTCTATTTGTGTGACTGTTTTTTCCAGTGTATTCTGTACATTTCCTCTTGCTCTCCGCTTCTCTCTCTCTCTTTCTCTCTGTAAATATATCTATTGTACATCACTAGTGGAACTAGATAATTGTTGCGCTAAATTAAAAAATTTGACAGAATCAGTATTAAAAACGATTGTGTATATTATATAAATAAGCATGTATATATGTTTGCGTGTGTAATAGATATCATTGACATTCTTCAGTAGTATATATATTCATACATTCATTTATGCCTTCTTGACAAATGAATATGACATGGATATTGATTTTATTTCCTATAAGTCAGAAAATAAATAAAATATTTTTATCTTCTCCAGTAGATCTTCACCAATGTAAATAGTCGTCAGTCTTATGTTCTGATGATTAGTAGTAGTAGTAGTAGTAGTAGTAGTAGTAGTAGTAGTAGTAGTAGTAGTGATATTATCATTGTCGCCATATGGTTGGCTATTCTGAAATAAAATAACTTTGAGAAAAAAAATAAATAAAATAAACTAATAATGACAATGTTGTTCTTCTCTATTCTTGTTAATTGTAATAATAAAATCACAGGATAAACTAATCAGTTTCATGGTATCAATGTTATATTTTTTAATATTACATATATATGTATATATTGAGTCAATCTCTGTTCGTCCATTATTAACTTATACAGCGTGTTTTTTTATCTCCTATCAATGAGCGATTGTGTGTTTTTGCTCTCCCTTCTTTTCCCCTTCTGTCTTTTCTGTGAGGATTGGGGTTGTGTGGAGGTGGTGAGTATCTGTTTTATGTTATGCAGCCATAACATGAACAGTATACTTACTTATCTCTATATACATTAAAAATCTATAGAATAGTCAAAATTCATTTGTGTGTTCTTATTCAATAGACAATTGTTTATTTTCCCTGGAGAAAAACAACGACTATCAATCTAAATCGATTGAATCACATGTTCTGTTCTCTTGACTACTAACTTTTAAATCGATGAAATCAAATGCTTTCGTTATGTTACTTGTAAATTGTCATATATATTTTAGTTATATATCTAACATTGTTTTCAAAAAAGTTAAAAATTTATTCTACTCATAGCTTAAAATTATTTTATGCATTTAGTTTTATTTTTAATAATGAATCGATGAATGTCATACTACCATTAGAAACCTGGAAGCACTGGACGGCCGTCTCGTCCTGGTATGGGACTCATAAGAAGTGCGCATCCACGACTCCTGCATGTCCCAGGATTTGAACCCAGGAACTACTGTGTACATTAATTAGTTGAATCACTGAATTTTTCATACCGCTGACACGTTGATATCCTTTTATTAGTTAGTGCTATGCTCGTCAATCGATATGCTTGAAATATTACGAGTTCACCATAGTAGGTAAACGAGAATAAAGACCAATCATCCAGTGACATGATAGACTACTCTAATCCGAGCGTCCCAATGCCCCACTGAGTAGAGGACGAAGTCTTGATATAGCGTAGAAAGTGTATTCTGCGAGTTCCCAGAAAATGTGAGGTTTTTAAGCACACAAATCGAATTTATTTATTACATGATAGAAACGTCCTTTGGAGAACCACAAAAATTAGGGCACTATATTATTACATCAATCAATGACACTCAAGGATTTCTCGGGTGGGAAATGTAGTCTCAAGGTCAACTAATCAGCCATTTGCTAAAGCATTTTATTTAGTGAGTTTTGGGGATCTAACGTCCCCTACAGTTAGCTAGTTGTATATTAACTAACTGATTATTTTCATGCATTTTAATCAAATTCAACTGTATAATACTTTTACTTGATATTTCATATTCATTATGTTAAGATTTTATGTAATAATAATATGAACAATCCTAGATTATGTGATTGATAAAATCCGATTACTATTATTATACTTATCTGTGCATATAAACTAGTTTGCCTTAAATTGTTTCGTTTATTTCTCATGGAACAACCAGTACCTTCAGTGTATTTTTTGTTTTGTCATCTGGGAAGTTGTACATGTAACATAGTATTTTTTTTCCCGAATATATATTCTGTTCTCTTTTTCTCCATTATCGATTATTGTGTTGTTGTTGTTTTCTCTCTCTCTCTCTCTTGCTCGCTCGCTCTCAATTCAACTCCTCACACTAGTCTATCCTATTACGTGTGCATAATGAATTAAAAGTACAATTACGTCATCGTATCAGTGAACTTGGTATTATTGCTGATGGTGGACCTCAACAAAGGTAATTCATTGGAGTGTTTTTTTTGTATCTTCAAATAATTCTAATCATATCTGTGTTACATTTTTTTCTTAAATGTATTATCAATCAATTAACAGCAACATCGAACTTTGTACATACGTACGTACGTACATCAGTTCAAGTTGCCATGCCACATTAGCACAGAAATGTAATTGTCACTTCGAATCCCATGATAGTAGAGGTAGTAAAAGTAGTAGCAGTAATTGGAGAGATTAAGGTTTGACGATATTATTCAAGAATCTAGTGAAATAAACTTAAAAAGAAAAAGATAAAAGTGATGAGGAATTCCAAAGGTTAGGACTTGAGAGAACATAAAGAATGAATGCACCTGCACCATTGCAAACAGTTTTGAGTCATGTCATTCAGGGTCTCTAACCATCGATTATTATCATCTCGCGGGCCCCAACCAGCTAGTCGACACTTACCAACATGACTCGATCCATTTGTCAGTGACGTCATAGATTTCTGCCATGTTTTCGTTTGGCCACCCTTAGCTTTCTTCCAACCTATTCCTGTATTGCAAATCATAGTTCAACGAGGCAGTCTTGGTTAGGCATACACAACGCATGTCCTAACCACCTCAACTGATGAATTTTCAATACCTCATCTATTGACCTCCCACCCTTACCTAGGACCCGTTTCCTAATAACAGTATTGTTTACTCGATACACAAGCAATGCTTCGGAGACACCTATGATCTTTGTATTATCGTTTTCTATGTATTCATTGTCTAGTGTATAGTTTAACAGTAATAACAACAGTATTGTACTTAACAATCAGAAGAACTGAAGAATCTTGTCGTGCAATTCGTAATTTTCGTTTATTTCATTCCTATTTTTGTTCACCAGAAAGTGTTTCTGAATATTTCAAATTTTTATTACAGATCAATTGGTCGACTAGTGAGAATGAGATTAACATCTCATCCATACACATACATGCAATTTGTTTTTCATTTTATTGAAGAATATGACAAAAAAATTTTTTCACACTCTGAAAAATTGCTAGTCAAAATCGAATGCCTTACGTTGACAACTTACTTCAGTTGTAGTATAAATTGTTTCTTTTATTTTCCGATTTTATCATTCGATAAAAAACTGTCCTCCACTTGTCATTGAACCGATTCAGTAGTTTAAATGATATTTTCACAGGGCAAAAAATTCATAAACTATAAAAAAAAAACCAGTTCATTTCGTTGTGTCGACTCAATTAATTTGAAGATTAAGGCAGGAATTGAAGGAATCGTTCATCTTAGTACTTTTCTGATATTCAACTTTTCCTTGGATTAATTCCAGCTTCCATTGAGAACTTGGGCAACAATAAATTTGCTTTGACCATCTTGATATAGATTTTAGAAAATAAAATTTTCACAGCATTTATTGTTGTTATATTTTTTTAAAAAAACAACTATATTATGCATGAAACCTTTTCATGATAACTGCTGAAATAGTCTCATTCGAATAAATAGCGATCATGTTGAGTGTATCTCAATGAATCACAGTAATTACTTACTGAGCCTGTCACCTCCGATGGAGCATAGGCTGCTGACCAGTGTTCTCCAACCTACTCCATCCTGCGCTTCTTTTTCCGATTCTGTCCAATTTTTGTTCATTCTTCTCGTATCTTTTTCTATTTCTCGGCGTTATATGTTTCTTGGCCTTCCTGTTTTCCTCTTACCTTGAGGGCTTGTCTTGTGACGCAGTTGAGGTTACATTAATCGCTAATATATTATTACTGTTGTTCAGTTTCATCAACTCCCTGTATTGTTTCAGTTGTTTTTCTCTTGGTAATCATTATAAAATCATATCAACTGTTTTGTTGTTCTTGAAAAAGTCAATTTGTTGTTTTCTTTTAAGCAAAGTTCATACAGAAAGTCGATTAATAAAATAACCGGAAGTAAACAGATTAATTTTTATTAAAATCCATGAATCGGTCAATGTAAGACTATTATTAGAAGAAACCTGAAAGCATTAGACGTCCGTTTCGTCTTAGCATGTGGGACTCATCAACAGTGCGCATACTAAGACGAATAGGTCGCCTAGTGCTTCTAGCTTTCTAATGACTGCCTAATTAACAATGATATACTGCAAATATGCGAAATTAAATTTTGATAGAATTTATCGATCATAACATTTGTATTGACTTAAATGTGTATGCTGAATAATTCTTTGGTTGATTTATGATTGGATAAGAATGAATCACATTGAATTCATTCTATTCACTATATTTTCAACTAGCTAGTTTCCAGTTTGAATTCTACTCAAGCAATATATGTTGTAAGCGTTTTGACAGTCTTATTACATAGTAGTTCCTTTTTTCAACTTAAAACTGAGTTAACCAATTCACTTACACAATAGGAATTCTGTTTATCATAATTTCTGTAAAAAAAAATTATCAATTCTTAAAATAAATCTTTTTTTTCATTGTTTATTCATGAGAAGATGCTGTCAGATACAATGCTGAATTTTCAGTAGTATTTAATTTAATTTGTATAGTATGACTTATAACTTGTCAGTGTTATCTCCTTTCGTATTGTTATGTAAATATATATATATATATATATATATATATATATATATATATAAATTCGACATTTACCCTAACAACAATATCACTTGTTCATTTATATTAAACTAATGACTATTCAACATTTAATAACATGCTACTTCTTATTCATGACACTAAATTCAAACGTTTCTGACTGCAAATGCCATTTTCAATATTTTTCCCATACAAGTTTCATAGCTCTATCAAAACACACACACAGTTTATGCATGTGTGTTGTGTTGTGTTGTGATAAAGCCATTTTTTGCTGGTTTTTTCTCTCAATTCAATGGTGATTCGATTCACTATTGATGTACAAATGTGTATATGTATACGCATTTGTGTGTTTGTTGTGTTTTCTATAAAATCTAACTTATTCAACATTTGATAACTTGAAAGTTTTACTCCTGATAGTTTCTCTCATTCTCCCACCTATCTCTTTTGTTTTGTATTTTAGCTTGATCGATTCAGAAATTCTCTACTACATTGATCATTTTCAAACACTCACACCACAACTACAAAAATTTGTTGATGATTGTTCGGATATTTGGCCGTCATAAATAATAATCATCATATTGACTTGTCATCCATTTTTTTAAAAAAAAATTGTGCCATGAAGAAGAATGTGGAATCAATCATAAAAGAGAAACTACAAACAAATAAATACAGTAGGCCTTGCTGTGTACCTGTTCTGTATTACTAGCTAGACTGATTAATTCACCTTGTGTCTTTCACTATTTATAATTAAATAAATAAATATATATATATATATAATTTTTATAATTTTGTGAGTCTTTCATCGCTGTACACAACATATTCATTCATGCATAGACTGATTTCTCTGGTTGTATTGTACCATCATCATTCCAATAGGTGTATTTGTGTATAGGTCAACTGTATGTGTGTGTGTGTGTGGGTGTGTGCGTAGAGACCTTGCTCACTCACTCATTCAAACACTCACTTGTGTATACATTTTCTTCTGTATTCTTCTCTTGATTTTCAATTCTGCTGTCACATTATATGAGTTTAATCATTTTTGTTGTTGTTGTTGTTGTCGTCGTCGTCGTTTTGTTAATGCTTACTTACTTGATTCTTTTATGCCTTGTTTTTTTCTTTTTAGTTCTCTCTGTCTTGTTGCTCTAATAATATTGTTTGTTGTTTCATTTCCTTTCGTCTTTATGCTTATTTTTTCTTTCATTCTAATCAATACATTTTCTACATTAGAATAATAATTGTAACAGTAATCTTCTGTTTAAAACCTTTTTCATTATTATTATTATCATTAAAATGGGCTTCTACAGTAATTCATTGCTTGTTTACTTACTATATCGGTTCTATTGAGAAAAAACTGTTAAATTGTCAGTTTGTAGAGAAACGATGTAAATGTTGAAGTTTCCTTTAGATATTAGTGATATGCTTGAAACTATTACGAGTTCACCGTACTCCGTAAACTGAGCGAAGACAAATGACGCAGTGACACGATAGGCTATTCTAATCCGGCCAATTATATCAAGAAGTTTTGATAAGACGTAGAAATGTCCAGAAAATACGAAGTCGACAAGCACACAAATCGAACTTGTTTATACATGATGAAAACATTCTCGGGAGAGCCACAAAAAATAGCCTACTCAAATAATCGATCAACCGACGACAGTCAAGGATTTTCCGAGGGGGTATGTAGTCTGAAGGTCAACTAAGCAACCTATGCGTGGAAATATAAAAAATCCAAAATTTAGGACACTTTTCAAGTGAGTTCTATGGATCTAACGTCCCCAACAATTAGTCAAACTCAATATATTTTCTGATTATCTAAATCTGATACTGTGTGCGCCCAAACCAGCTACTTGAGTGAATAAAAGCCTAAAGATAGATCCGCCTCCATTATAAAATAACACCACATCTTCAACCAATGAAATGTGTCTCTTTCTTCAGGTAATGAAGCTAAATCTTGGCCAATGGTATACACTTGTTATTTGATCTGTCTGACTGACTGATCCAGTCGTCGAGAAGCATAGTGCCATCTATATATGCATAGACGATGTTTATTAGACAACTATTGAATTGAATTATGTGAAGAGTGGGTTTTAAATGTTTATTTTAATGTTTGCAAATTACTAAGTAGTGATGTCGTTCAGCCACAGATGTCCTACAGTTGAAATATAAAATTTGAATATTGATCAAATGTTACCCATATTGTATTTATTCAATTTTTTTGTCAATCCATCGTTATATGAATAAAAAATATAATGGATGTGAATAAATAAAATATCTGTGTTGTATTTTGAATCCAATGGTTGAGTTAATGACGAAGTTCGGTCCTAAGTTATGTTTAATAACTGGATTTATAAACTTTTCTTTTTATTGATAATTCGACTGATTTATTTGCAGCTATAAGTTCACTTGATCAACGTATGCGTTTCTATTGGCAATTCGAAAACAAAAGCAATAAGCTATTCGTGCTGAAATCTGTCCAGCGCCTTTCCAGAATATGTTTAGCACGGAAATGTAGTTTAATCACATGGTTACGTGGACTTCGAATAAGCGCTTCTGGATGTCTAGGAGAATAAACCAATAGTAGTAAAGTTTCTCACTTTCCACTGTCCATTTTTTTTTAGAGTTTATTAAATTTCGATAATAGAATAACCCTTAAAATCAACTTGAATAGCTTACACAAACTCGGATCTATTAAATATCATCGGTGAAGCACTTTTCCTTCTGAAGGTCATACAGAAGAGGATCATTTCCAATATTTCTTCTCTATAGAAGTGTTTACTTTAATTCAAATGCGAGACATTAAAAATGTAGAGTAAATTCTTCAATAATTATCGAAAACCGTTTGGATATTGTCGATTTACAATTGTGCTGATTGAAGGTATCTTATTGTCATTTCCAATGTTTTTTTTTAAAATAGTAATCAAAATTCACTAATTAACCTTATGGTTTATGTAAAATGTTTACAATTCATTTCTCGTGATTCTGATGATTTCTCAAACTGGCTATCCCGTTAACACATGAATCATCGGTTTGTTTACTTCCGATTTCTTAATCGAACAATGCAATCAGTCACTTAGGCAATATATCTTAGACTAAAATCCAATAAACTATGTTAATTTAAATCTTCTGACATGTTGTCGAATTCATTTCCACTCCATCTCATCTCAGCTTGTGTGTAGCACAGGCTGTTTTCACCAATCGATCTGAAAGTGGTTTCCGATAAGATCTATCATTGAAAGGAATGTTTATTCGAGTAAAACATGGTTCAAATGAATTTTAATAATGATATAAAATGCAGTAAATTGGGTTTATGTTATCATTGATTGTATGATATAAAATGCTATTTAAAAAGATTACTGTTTTTTGTCTGTTAGTGAAATCTCTTCAGAATCAAACAATCTCGTTTTTATTGCAAATTAAAAATTGAAATCATATATGTATTATACAAGATTATTAATATATAAAGATCTAGTAAAAATATAATAAAATGAAAACTGAAAAATAGATAAATTTATGGTGATGTTTCGTGCCAATATGATTCATGTTTAAAATAGTATTACTCATATTTAATATAAGTAGTAAATATGTGAAATTTAGAATTATGTAGGTGTTTATGAAATTTTACAGATGTATCATCAAATTTTTTTTTGAATAATATTAAAAGTATGAAATAATCATGCATGTTCAAATACAAATTGACAAAAATCTTACACATACACAAATAATGAATGCATCAAGTTGTGTTCAATAATAATAATAATAATTGAACATTGAAGAAATCATCACAGTCGATAAATTGAAAAAAAAACCACATAATCGAATTGAAACAATGGCGAAAAAAGGAAATTTCAATGCTGATTACTTTATCTTGACTTTTAACAAGAGAATGTTTCTAGAAGGAAATTGAATAAATCAAACAAAAAAGGAAAATTATTTAACAAGCACTCAATTGAGAACATTCCGTTTCATTTTCATTGATGGGGATTTTACGTGGTATCTGACGTGAACAACAACCAACACCAGTTAATCGAAATGAATAAGCTGAACTTGGCAAAGTGTCCAAACGATTAGCCATTGGATATAGAAGAATTGGATAAACAATTAAACCGCACAGAACTGATAATCCCACTTCTAGATAAAATCCATCTAATTGTGTAACACATGTCCCGTGAATAGTTTCACATGCCTAAAAAAATGACATTAAAACACAAAACCAATGAATATGTATTATCTGGTACAAGGTTTACACTCTAGGCAAACGATCATTTTGACCAAGTTGAAACATTTTAAAAAATCATTTAGTTTCAAAGAATGAACTGCCCGATAATTCATGAATTTCAATGGTACATTGTTTAGCCTAATTTAAGTTTGATCTGATTTATATTTATCCATGCCTGTATTTAAAATATTTAAAACATGTCGTGAAAGCTGTATGTAGGAATTAACAAACTTCAAAAGAATCTCTTTGATAGACGAATAAAGCTTTCCAAAATAGCATTTTTAGAACAGCTCCAATGAAGAAGATTATCTTCGGTTTTATTTTCACCGAATAGATAGAATATGGCTAGCAGCGGAATCCAAGACTAACGTTTCTTCCCGTTCGGGACTTGTCAACTGGATGCAAGTGCATCTCAGAGTTCAGTCCGGGATTCGAACTCTCCAAACGCTATCGTGTTATTCATTTGACTACTAAGTCCAGAGAGTCAGTCGCTTGTTCAATGGGTATGAGATTTAATTCAATTTGAAATGGTTCAGACTGTCCCGTTGTTATTCTACTGCTAGCCACATTCTATCTATTTTGTATAAAATTTTCATAATGGCTATATTGAGGCAATTTTCATAAGGTGCAAATTTGCCACCTTTTCAATTTTCACCTTTTTTTCTTGTACTTTTTAACAGCTAAATATTTAATTGAGTAATTTTTATTATCTGGAAGTGATGATTATGCCTAGATGACTGGAACATTGCGTTTTGTGTACCTAAACTGCTCTGAACTTCGTGTGTGTTTTACTCCATCCTAATACACTGTTTAATATCGACAACATTATTGTACTGTAATGTTGATCTCTATTCAAACCACAAATTGGTCGGTTGATAACTAGTCAATCAGGTGAAAAAGATTTTTGAGGTTCATATAACGAGTTTTACATTTTTCACATTTTCTTCAATCGGATAAGAACATTTGAATACAGAAGACAGTCAATCCTGATTCATATTTGTCTGAGGAAGAGACAAACGAGTGTGAAACGTTTATATCAGTGTCTGTAAGGAATACGTTCTGATATAAATGAAATCGATTAAAGCCTTACAAATATTTATGAATAGTGGTTTTTCCCAGAAAGCAAGTTGTTGTTCATGAAAATAATGATCATTAAAAAAAGAATTGTCGAAACCCCCTAATAAAGACATATTCAGATGTGCTATGAAGTACTTTCCCCTATAAGCGGAAGGAATGCCAGGGACAAAACAGAGCTTCATGTTACCTCATTCTGTTATGAAATAAGTTATACTGGACGCACAAAATGAATCATAAGATAGATAGGTTCTGATCCTTATGCAATGAAAATGTCTTGACTTGACATAAAATCTAAATGGAAACTATACTCCGATTACAAATTTGTATATAGCATATAGTTAAATTGATTTATATGATGAGCATTTGATCTAAATGTGCTGATAAAAGTGTACGATACTCTGTTTTAAACAGTATTATCAGATCTACAATCAACACAACCCAGCACACTAATCTCAGCAATATTCATAATTATTACAAATGATAATGTTGATGTTACTCAAGTGGAAACAGATGAATAGCTGAGGCTAAATAAGAGTTATATTCAACCAACAACAGACATATTCAACAAATGGAAGATATATTTCAACTATTCGAATAGCTAGTATTAGGGTTTATGAAAATACCTGGATACTATTTATACCGGAAACTGGTTTATGTTAGGCAACTAATAAAAACCAGTAACTACCGGATAGATGTTTCGTGCTAGTATAAGACTCTTCAGCGGTGCACACGCGCAATTTCACTATAGGTAATCAGAACCAAAAGCCTTGGTATCGCGTGCAAACACCCAACCCATGGGTCATTAAGCCGGTATTCAATATTTTACAAGTCTAATTTCATGATCCTAATGACATTCAACAGTCTTCACCACGTGCATACCGGAAACTATCTATATTACCCTTAGTTTGTGATACCTAGTCGTTTTGCAAAATAAACTTAATTTTCAATTACAATTTCTCTTTCATATAGAAAAGAATTTTTTTTATAAATAATGATCAAGTTAAAATAACTCGTTGTTGATCATTTTCGATGATAATAATGACTAGGTCATTATGAAATTTAACTTTCTGTAAATATTGACGAATTATTTACAAACAATTTTTAATTTAAAAAAAATCACTGTTCAAAACTTACTTTAATTCCATGGGGTAGTTTACAAGTTGCATTATATTGTTTTACTATTGTTTCTTTGTCAAAAAATGAATAACTATTGTTATTCATTGTATTATTCAATAATGCATTATTTGAACTGAGAACATGATGCACTGTTTCATTGAAATCATTTAAAATGCATGCACGTTTTGTCAGCGGTTCAATCAGTGAAAGGAAAGTAGT